TGCTCGTTTTTGCACCATTTTGCATCTTTTCTTATCCAAAGGCACCATTGCTACCTAAGGCCCAATGAACTGAATGATAAACAGAAAAGGGATTAAAAGCACAAGTTTGACTCAATAACATAACCAAATCATAAGCTAGAATGGTACAAAAATGATATGTAATTGTGAACTGATCAGGCTTATTAACTACTGAAACTGAACTCATCTTAGATTGTGTGTATCAGTTGTAGCACAAATGCAATATATACATATAATTCTACAGCCCAACGTTTTTTAGTGTGTGTCTGTCATCTGCCGATGAGCCCAATAAACAATTGACTGTCGGCTTTGCTCTTTGTATTGTAGTTTCATTAAAGGCCACATATTGAAAATATTCTCATATTAAAGGCGGCAACTGTGAAAGGAAACAAAAACTACATCTCTAACAAAACCACTCATTGCCCGTTTGACATTACTTATTTGAAGTAGGGGTGGGCACGGTTCGGTTTGGACCGGTTCTTGGAGAAAAATGGAACCTGATCCAATAGTGCAATCCGGTTCGGTTTGGACCGGTTCTGCTCAATATCCATACAGAAATTCGAACCAAACCGGACCTGTCCGGTTCCGGTTCGAATCCAACGGTTCCGGTTTTTGTTTTTTTTTTTGTTTTTTGTTTTTTTAATAATAATAAACAAACCTACCCAAAATGAATTTATATACTAACATACCTCAAATTTGAGGTTCTATCAAGCTTTCAACGCATCAAAATGAATCTAACTTTAACAAAAATGCATTCCAAATTCAATCCAACTTTAACATATAAATTACAACCCAAATTCAATCAAACTTCAAAAAAAATGCAATCCAAATTCAATCCAACTTCAACATATAAATTACAACCCAAATTCAATCAAACTTCAACAAAATAAGTTCCAAAATAAATTACTAGCCAAATACAACCCAAATTCAATTCAAATATACATTACAACCCAAATTCAATCCAAATTCATTAAATTTCTCCTAACATTGAAAAGTAGTTGGAGCTATGGTGCTAGGTGTGGATGAACTCATAATATCTACATAAAAAAAAACATAAACCCATTAAAACATTAGTCAAACATACACATTATATAATACATTAATAAAGCATATAAAATTACAAAGACATACCTAATTCAATCGATTCATAGAACTCCATCTCTTGAATTGTTGGCTCATATTGTAAAGAGGAAATGTCATCCGACCTTAACCAATTTTGAGAACAAATTAAGGCCTCCACAATCTTAGGAGTCAAAGAAGCACGAAATGAATTAACTACCCGACCACCCGTGCTAAAGCATGATTCCGAAGCCACCGTTGATACCGGGATGGCAAGCACATCCTTTGCAATAAGTGCCAACCCCGGATACTTAACCCCATTCAATTTCCACCACTTCAAAACATCAAATTCATCAACCACATCTTCAATAGGGTCGGTGATGTACCTATCAATCTCATGCTCCAATACCACAACATCATTTGCTCGAGTCTCTTTTCTCCAATTTTCGGTCATTTGCCTTCGTTTCTTTCCCCCTCGGCTTTGGCTACTACTTGTACTCATTGTAGTAGTATCACTAGAACAATAACTACTACTTTGAGTAGGTGGTGGTGGTGGTGGTGGCATGGCATATTCTTCATAAAACTTCTTTAAAATCTCTTTGATCTCATTCTTCTTCTTAACCGCATCTTCCGGGTTTTCAAACCGGCTTTTCAAGATAAACTCCAAGTTCCCCAATTTGTATCGAGGGTCAAGAACAAGAGCAACCATCAAAATTTGGTTCAATTTATCAAGGTCACCCCAATACTTTTTAAACTTCATCTTCATGTTAAGTGCCATGTCCTTCAAAACCTTGGAGGTTTGGGTTTCACTTAATATTTCCTCCTCTTCCATCAACAAATCCTCAATTTCTTCTTCCATTGCAATCAAGTCATGAAATGTGGTGTGGGAAGCGGGATGCAAAGTGACACTCATCTTCAATGTAGCATCATAAAATACCTTCAAAAAATTCACAAAGGTACGAGCATTGTTCCAATCTTCATTAGTTGGTGGTCCTTCCCTCTTTCTAGGGTAATGAGACATAACCACCCCATCTTCAAGATCCGGTTCATCTTCACCAAACCAAGAAATATATGGGCCTTCATCATCTTCTCCCATTCTCCAAAATGCCTTTTCAAACTTTAAGGCGGCTTCCAACATCATATATGTGGAATTCCACCTTGTTGGCACATCCAACACCACAAGCCCTTTGCATTCAATTTGCTCTTTCTTAACACAACTCTTAAAGTCCTCCAACCTTTTGGGAGAAGATCTTACATACTTCACAGCATTTCTTATACACACTATGCTTTTTTCCAACTTCTTCAACCCATCACGAACTATCAAATTCACAATATGAGCACAACACCTAATGTGCATATACTTTCCCTCTAATAAAAGACTACCATTTCCCCAATGGCCCATTTTCGACTTCAAGTAATCTATAGCCTTTGTGTTTGAAGAAGCATTATCGGCCGTGATGGTTAATATCTTCTTCATATCCCAATCAAGCAAGCATGACTCAAGGAGTTTACCAATTGAGTTCCCCTTGTGATTGGAAATGACACAAAAGTTCAAGATTTTTTTGTGCAAGTTCCAATCACAATCTATGAAGTGTGCCGTGATGACCATGTAATTGATGTTTTGAACACTTGTCCAAGTGTCCGTTGTGAGGCATACTCTATGTGGTGCTAATTCTTCTTTCAATTTTTGTTTCATGGCATCATACATTACCATGAAATGCCTCACAAGTGTCCTACGAGATGGCACTTGGAAATGGGGGTTCAAAGAATTACAAAACCGCCTAAACCCTTTTCCTTCAACCACACTAAACGGCATCTCATCCATTACTACCATCTCTACACATGCCTTTAACCACTCTCCTTTACCATGCATTGTTGATGTAAGAACCCCATGTGCTTGGTCAAAAGACAAGAGCTTTTGCCGTTTATCTTTAGGAACCCTCCCTGGATATTTCTTACATAAGTTTTCAATATGTTTCCTCAAATTTGAGGTCCCATTTCTAGTAGAGTCTGCTGCATAGCTCATAGTGCAATACTTGCACCTAGCTCTCTTCTTAGTGGTTGCATATTTGCTCCCATCCTCCTTCACACTCTCAACCACTTCTTCATATTTCTCAAAGTGATCCCATACTTCCGATTTTTCTCTCTTTGGGCCGGAATGAGGTAATGGTGGAAGACCACTCGGTTGAGATGGTATTTGGGCATGAGGTGTACTTTGAGTTAGTGTTTGAGGGTTAGGTAAAGTGGATGAAGGTGTTGAAGAAGATGCGGATGCGGATGCGGATGTGGATACGGATGCGGATGATGAACCAACTTCACTATTAGTAGTGGCATGTACCTCTCCAAATGGGTTTGACTCATTCATGATTTCTTTAAGACACAAAAAAAAAAAGCAACTTAAACATGATACTAACAAAAAACAAGCCCTCAATTTAAAAAAAAAACAGAAAATTAAATATTATACAATCGAACTAACAAAACAAAACACTTGAGTAAAAAAAAAACAACTATGTCTCATTTCCCAATTAAACGTGATGCATATACATGCATTAATCAATTGTATGACATGTATTAATACAAGTTGTACATATTAATACAAGATGTACACATATTTATATTTGCTGCCTCACATTAATACAAGCTGTACATACAAGCTGTGCACATTAATACAAGCTGTACATTTTAATACAAGCTGTACATACAAGCTGTACATTTTAAAACAAGCTGTGCACATTAATACAAGCTGTACATTTTAATACAAGCTGTACATACAAGCTGTGTATATTAATACAAGCTGTACATACAGATATAATCAAAACCAATTATCATACAAGCTATACATATTAATAACTATCAAAGCCACAATTACTGTGAATAACAAATAAACCATGAAGATCATTCATCCACACCACCTTAAATCTTTTCAACTTGAAACAATTTCCTTTTATTTTTTTCAATTCTGTCAGTTGATAAAATATGACCTAAAATCAACTTGTGAGTACAAAAATACAAACTAAGAGCCTAGCCTAGCACAAGAATATCGGGTACGATATCCATTGGATTGGATGAGCATCAATTAGCAAATGAACATGGTTAAACATCCAAATTTCAGTTGCAAACATCCAAATTTCAGATATAATCAAAACATACATATATAATCAAAACCAATTTCAGCTGCAAACATCCAAATTTCAGATATAATCAAAACATACAGATATAATCAAAACCAATTTCAACTGCAAACATCCAAATTTCAGTTGCAAACATCCAAATGTCAATTGCAAAACATCAAATTCAAAATATCTGAGAGAGAGAGAGAGAGAGAGAGAAAGAGAGAGATGAAGAATACCTGAGATAGGCAGAATTGCTGCTGATGGAAGCTGCGAGAAAATTGATGCTGGTCTGCGTGAATTGCTGCTGCTGGAGGACACACAAATTGGTCAGACAGAGAATCGAAGGGAAACAGAAAAAAAATAAAAAGAAAAGACATAATCTATCTAACCTGCGTGAGTGAGAGAGACGGCGGCGCGACGGCTGAGAGAGAGAAGAGCGACAGAACGACGGCGGCGACTGGAAGAAGAGCGACGGCAGAGAGGCGTGACGTGATGGCTGAGACTGAGAGAGAAAT